CGAGGGCAACGGCACCACGTTGACTTTCACCTTGGACGTGCAGACAGTGGGCGTCGGGGTCTTCCTGGCCGTCTTCATCCTCTCAGCCATCGTGGGGAACATCCTCGTCATCCTCTCCGTGGCTTGCAACCGGCACCTGCAGACGGTCACCAACTACTTCATCGTCAACTTGGCCATCGCTGACCTGCTGCTCAGCACCACCGTGCTGCCCTTCTCAGCCACCCTGGAGGTGCTGGGCTTCTGGGTGTTTGGGCGCATCTTCTGCAACATCTGGGCAGCGGTGGATGTGCTGTGCTGCTCCGCCTCCATCATGAGCCTGTGCATCATCTCTGTGGACAGGTACATCGGCGTCAAGTACTCCCTCAAGTATCCCACAATCATGACCGAGAGGAAGGCAGGGGTCATCCTCGTGGTGGTCTGGCTATCCTCCATGGTCATCTCCATTGGGCCACTGCTGGGATGGAAGGAGCCACCACCACCAGATGAGAGCATCTGCAGCATCACGGAGGAACCAGGCTATGCCCTCTTCTCCTCCCTCTTCTCCTTCTACCTACCACTCATGGTCATCCTGGTGATGTACTTCAGGATCTACGTGGTGGCCAGGCGGACCACCCGGAGCTTGGAGGCAGGGGTCAAGAAGGAGAGGAATAAATCCATGGAGGTGGTACTGACTGCGCATCCACTGCCGCAGCGTGCTGGAGGAACCTCTCTCCAGCACCCGGAACAAGGGGCACAACTTCAGGAGCTCCCTCTCCGTGAGGCTTCTCAAGTTCTCCCGTGAGAAAAAAGCAGCCAAGACTCTCGCCATCGTCGTGGGTGTTTTCATCCTCTGCTGGTTCCCCTTCTTCTTTGTCCTGCCTTTTGGTAAGTGACCCCATCCCCTATTCTAGCCCCGCTGCCCATGGTTGAGCCCCCTGGGGACCTGCTCCCTGGGCTAAACTTTCAGGATACAACTCATGAGTGGAGGTGAGGGGTAGATGAATAAACCAGCAATGAATTAATCCTATTAATTAACACTTATTCAATATTTATTAATCAGAGTTATATAATCAATCAAAGTAAATAGCAAATGAATAAACTAGCAGCATAATAATTGGTTTAATTAATTCATTCTGCATTCAGCAGTTTAATTAATGAAGTTCAGGCTAAGGAGGAAGCAGCTCTGTTTCAAACAGGCTGTAATTATGGCACAGTGGTCTCCAAACAGTCTTCCTTCTTCCCAGTTTGATGGAGGGCACCTGGATCTGCCTCTGGGGGTTCAGGGCTCCCACCTCTGTTGTGAACTGGTGAAGAAGTTGGAGATGAGTGAGGTTTGAGCCCCTCAAGGAGCACGTTAGAATCTGAAGAATAAATCTCACTGATTTCTTGGGATGCCAATGTTGTGCAGGGACCTGGAGCAGGACAAGGTTTTCTCTACAAGTATGATGGTCCCAAGTGATTTCCACCTTCTGCAGGAGTCGTGTCCTCAGCTCCTGGACCTGACATGGTGCCTGTGTCACTGGCTGCTGATTTGGAGTTGTTTGCTGGGTTGTGCTCCAAAGTTTTAGCAAGTTGTTTACCCGGATGCAGTGCTCTGCATGCAGAGGAGGCTGAGCGGGCACAGAGCCCACCGGGGAAGTGTGATGGCCAAAGCAACGTCCTCTTCCAACAGGCACCCAACTCCAGGGTTTGGATTAACCCTCTGGAGTGATGTAGTTAAACCTAGGGCAGGGGGGGAAAGAGATTTAAATAACTTTTGAATATAGAGGATGACCTTTGTGCAGAGCTCAGCAAAGGAGAGGTCTGTCACTCCATCTGCTGGGTGGGACCCGCATGTCCCACAGCCCACTGGGGACTTGTGTCCAAGTTACCTCACAGCCACAGAAACATAGCCAATTCTGCACTTTTTCACAGGATTTTTAAAATCCTCTCGCTCAAGGTTGCCCTTCAAGTCAATGTAAGCAGTGTTGTGACCACAGGACTCTTTTTGACCTGCTGAGGTTTTGATCTCCCTCCAGCATTGTGGCTGTCCCATGGGGACAACTGGAGCCCAAGGCTGTTAGACACCATCTTGAGACCACTTAATCCCCACCTGCCCTCCAGTGGGTTAATTCACCAGGATGGGTGATGCCTTGAGAGCTGAGGTGTCCCAAGAGTGGTGGATCAAGGGTGTGGGTGTCTGGTCTCACCATGCTACTGCCTAACACCTCTCTACTTCAGTTTCTCTCTCTGGGTGAGGTTGGGATCTGATGAGTTTATCTCAGCTCTCTATAGGAGGTGAAATTGCTGCTGTGAAGAGTTTTCACCCTGTGTATGCATGCAGGTTCATCGTATAACTCAGGCAGGGAGCAGTAAAGCTGCTGTGAACTTCTCTCCCTGCAAGATTCGAGATGAATTATCCCATCTGACCGTGCCTCAGTTTCCCTTTCAGTGATCAGGTGCATTGAGGATTTTTATAGCCTGCAAATAAATAGTTTGGGAATTGTAAGGATCAGGGAGATGCTGGTACCTGAAGGCTGAGCTCTCTGGGCAGCCTCAGTGTGACACTCACCTTCTTGGCCCATCAGAAGAGCAGGAACCAGCTCTGAACCTCATTCACACCTTTACACCTTACAGCTAATGAAGCTGGGAATCGAGATCCTGCTCCTCTGAGTTATTCCCCGTAGTTGGAAATAAAGAACAAACAACAAGCAAATACTTTTCCATAGAAAAAAAATATTTCATATTGTTTTACCATATCTGTCCTGCCCTGGAACTCTTGAACCAGCTTCTGACTGATGTAAATCATTACCCTTGCATGGAAGTCAAGGGAAATACACTGATTTACACCAGTTAAAAATCCAAACTTCATTCTTTCAGTACCTCCCATGAACCCATTTTCTCCCTTCAAGCACACAACGTGCCAAGTTCTTTATAAACATGGCTTTGATCTTTACTTCCTGCTGTATTATATGTATAATATAAACATAGCAAAAGTTCATTTATTTTCTGACTACAAAATATGCTGCCTTTGATTCCTCCCCCCCACCTTTTATTAATTGCAATTTCCTATTCAAATCTGTGAATCATTCAGTGTTATCTAGAAGGAGAATAGAAACTTCTGCAAGGAATGATTTCTGATTTTACAGCTCAGGAGACAGGTCTGTAACTCAGAGAAATCATCAAAATTCACTGTAAACTGAAACATTCTGAGGCAAATTCTCCTTGAAAAGAAAATTGTAAATGGTTAAGTAGAATGACTTTTTTTATTACTTGTTAGACTAATTTGTATGAAATAATTTGGGGCCAATTTGAAATGATAGACATTTTAAATTAAAATGAAACACTGGTGAGAAACAGAAATCACTTTCAATTGACGTAAAACCTATTGTTTCAATTTAAGAAAAGAGTGAATGGAAGTTTATTAAAAAATGAGGAGTCAGATACATTTCAAAATGAACTGTCACATTAAAATTAAATGAGTAAGTGATCTATTTTCTTATGAAAATATTGAAATGTTTTCATATTTTTTTTGTCTTTTTGACATGAATTTACAGGAAGTTGCCACTGAGTGACTTACAGCGTTGACTGACTATTATCTGATTATAATTTCAGGGGATAAGTAAATTTGTCAGCTGAAAAAAAAGACTCCCAGCTCTACTTAGCAAGGATTTAGCAATCAGAAATTTCTGTCACCGGTGTCTGTGTCAGTCTGCACATATCTTTACATCTTTCTGCAGAATAGTTTCCATGTCAGTTCTAAAGGAGTATTATTTATCCCATCAGTGAGAAGCTGAAATAATAATTTTAAATCACAGGACCTATGTATGTGCCAAATGTTGTCAGTTATTTCTCCATGCTTGAATAATCTACAAAGATTCTTCTTCTTTAAATCAGCTCAAACTCCCCAATACCTCCACAGTTTATTTATCAGCTGAGTAATTTAGCTCACTCTTGGCTTTGTGATGTATGTCCCCAAGCACAGGATGCCATCACCAGGAGTTTTAACACAATTAACAGTTTCCACAGCTAATGAGACTCCTTAGGCAACTGGTTTTTTGAACAGGAGATGAAATCCTAATCACACAACTCTTGTGTGAGTTGTATCTTGTGCTGGATGTGCAGTAGAGCTTTGCTGAGCTGCTTTGTCTGGGCATCCTGGGGGTAGTTGTGTGTCTATGGCAAAGTGCCTCTGCCCTGAGCAAAGACCTGTCATAGAATGACAGACTGGAAGGGTTGGAAGGGACCTTAAAGCTCATCCAGTTCCACCCCCCCTGCCAGCAGCAGGGACACCTTCCACTAGACCACGTTGCTCAAAGCCTCATCCAACCTGGCCGCCAACACTTCCAGGGAGGAGCAGCCACAGCTTCTCTGGCCAACCTGGGACACTGTCTCACCACCCTCACACCAAACAATTTCTTCCTCACATTTCAGCTCCATCTCCCCTCTGACACTTTCAAGCCATCACCCCTTGTCCTGTCACTCCCTGCCCTTGGCCAAAGTCCCTCCCCAGCCTTCCTGGAGCCCCTTCAGGTACTGGGAGGCCACTAGAAGGACTCCCTGGAGCCTTCTCTTCTCCAGGCTAAACAGCCCCAACTCTCTCAGCCTGTCCTCACAGCAGAGCTGCTCCAGCCCTTGCATCATCCTCGTGGCCTCCTCTGCACTGGCTCCAGTAGCTCCATGTCCTTGTGCTGTTGGTGTCCCCAGCACTGGAGGCAGCACTGCAGGTGGGGGGGCAGGAGGGGGAGAATCACCTCCCTCGACCTGCTGGACACGCTGCTCTGGGTGCAGCCCAGGATACAGTTGGCATTCTGGAGTGCGTGAACGCTTTGCCGGCTCATGTCCAGCTTTTAATTCACCAGTACCCCCAAGTCCTTCTTCTCAGGGCTGCTCTCCATCCTTGTCAAGAGAACATAACTGGAGGATCCTCAGAGATGTGGGCCAGGAGTTTAAGGGTGTTTTGTAGGATAGGATTCATCTCCCTTTGGTTGTCTCAGACATCTGTGCCTTCATCTCAGCTAGTCACAGCATCATGGAGATGCTAGTTGGAAGGGACTTCTGAAGGTCTAGCTCCCTCTCTCTGTAATGTTCACACCAATACCAGATCAATCAGTCATTCACCCAAAGCTCCCTTTATCTTTCCGAGGGGAGTGCCTGAAGGTGTGACTCACCTGACCTATTTTGGACATCCTCCTTGGGATGAGATGAATTGTGATGTCAATCTGCCTCTTCCTCTCCCTTGACTACAAAAGCAGCCAGGGGCAACTAACCAGCTGATGGTGTCTGTGCTGCAGGCATTTGCAGAGAGGTGGGTTGTGTCCTAATCTGGACTTTTTAACTCTAATGGAAGCAAGATGCCCAGGACTGAGAAAGCTCAATCCTGTGTCAACTCAAGCCTTTATTATAGAGAGAGAATAGACAGAGAAAGTCTCTCTTAAGACACATAACCATAGAGCCTTCACTGGCTCTTCTGCTAATGGAAAACCCTGCTAAAAGTTAGGTGTTGGATTTGTCATTGCAGTAGGGCATCTATGCAACAGGTCAAGGAACCAGAACCCTCTATACAATACCTATAGACAGTCACTTGCTTTTTCAAACCTGCTTCTGGAGGAAGCAAATAAGAATAGCAGAAGGAATGGAGCCCTACTCCCCTTCCACTCTTCAGTAGTTGTGAAGTGTACAAAGATAATGTGGGAGCCCAAATAGGACCGTCTCAGGAGTGGAGGGAAAGACCTTCTCCATCACCACCCCAGAAACATCTAAGAGGAAACAACCATCCCTTGGGATCAAGGATGCACTAGCCAGGATGGAGATTTACACTCCTCAATGGTCTTTGTTTTTTAAGAAGTATAGTCTATTCTGGGTGATGGGCTCCCATGTTTGTTTTTCTTTGGATTTTGTTAGAAATCAAGAC